TAAATATGCAATATCTAATGTGTTCATACGTATATATTTAAAATTTAAATCAAATAATTAGGACAACATTTTCCGCTTATGTGGAGGCAACTCCACTAAAGAAAATATAAAAAGGGGTTTGCGCCGCATATTTGATGATAAATTGGCTCGTAAATGCTTTTGGCTGGGTAGAAAAAATAATTTTCAAGTGTCTAACTTGATCATTATGGATGTACTAAAAAGTAATAATATGTATGTGTTTATTATTTTTATTGATTTAAAGTACATTTTAGATGCAGTTCGAAAAAATTTTCCGTTATTAACCGACAAAATATTTGAATTAACTGTTTCTACATGGCTGAGACAAGCAAATCTTCGCTTCACGAGAAAACTTGAGAAATAGTTGTATGTATAACTTTAACTTCCTGTCAGTATTTTTTTATATTTTTTGTATTTTGTTTTATTTTAACTGTGCACTTTGTAAGTTACTTTTGTTTAAAATTACCATATCATATATGTAATAAATACATATTCCAAAAAATTGAGTAGTATTATTCAGTGTTTATTTTATTTATTAAAAGAATTTTTTATTTAGTTATTTATGTATGTTTGTGGATTTAATGAATTCTACTAAAAGATATTAAAAAATAATATTTTGTTGAGGTCGTGATAAAAGAAGCCCGTATTTCGAACCTCAAACCAAATTTCAGTAGGTAAGTATATATGATAATATAATCCACATACACATATGTATATATGTCTAGTATTAAATTATAGCATAGCTATTAAAAATATACAGGTATTAATTTCTTGGTGAAACATTCTTGATACCTAAAAAGATGTTTTATACAAGATGTTTCAAAGCTGTTTTAAAAACGTTTCACATGAAATGTTTCAAAGAGGTTTCACATGAAACGTTTCAAATGAAACATAATAAGGGTAGGACATTTTTGGTTGCCGGGATGTTCCAGAAATGTGTCCAGGCTCTGTGAGAAACGTTTCATGTTTCTGAATGATTGTTTTTGACACATTTCAGACACATAAAAAGGTTTACTGGGTTAATATCTGTTCTCTAAGTTAAAAAAAGACTTACGGGGAAAACGTTTGAGACGGATACAGAGGTGCAATCGGCAGTACTACATTATTTCAGTAATAAAGGTTAAAATTAATAATTAAAAAATACAACGTTTGTTGCATGTAGAAGTGCTTCTGGTCATTTTGTGCCGCCTATGCTCATTTTTAAAAGAAAACGAATGCATCCCGCACTCGCTAATGGTGCTCCACCAGGTAGCCTAGTTGAGGTATCCGAGTCCGTTTATATAAATTTCGAACTATTTTGTAAATGGTTATGACACTATATATCCCACGTCAAGCCAAGCGTGGAACATAAAGTATTGCTTGTGTTCGATGGTCATACGACACACTCAAAAAACTTAGATGCTATCTATTTGGCACGTGAAAACGGAATCATAATACTTCAGTTACCTGGACACGACACACAGGCTTTAACCACTTGATGTCGCCATCTTCAAACTCTTGCAAACCTTCTATGATGAGGCTATTATCAGATGGATGCGGACTAATCCGGGACGAAAAGTAACACAACTGGAAGTAGCTGCTCTAATTGGGGAAGCTTATGAAAAAGCAGCAACCGTAGGAAACGCTGCAAGTGGATTTAGGCGCATTGGAATTTGGCCAGTAGATCGCTCAGTTTTTTCTGAGGCCGATTTTGTAGCAAATGAGAACTTGAAGCCGATTGTCGAAGAAAGTGAAGCAACCCCTAAGAACGATACCGATGAAGATACATCAGAAGATGAAGTGGATCCAACTACTGAGAAATCTGATGCCAGTTTAAATAACATAGACGAAGATGCATCAAGCCCTGCCGCGAATACTAACTCATTAAGTGATGGTTACAATCTATTGGTGATACCCATACAGAAAATAAGTCCACTACCAAAGGGAAGCAAACGATATCAAACACGAAGAACCAAAGGAGCGCAAAAAGCAATGCTTTTAACTGTCAGTCCCTACAAGAAGCAACTTGAAGCCTCAAAACAGTTTCAAGCGCAAAAGAACAACACGAATGCTGGAAAAATAGTGAAGAATGTATTTTCAACGACCCAAATTAACAAACGTAAAAAGAATTTTGAATCCGAAGAAGTGGAACCTCGAGCAGGGCCTAGTGGCCTTCAAAACTCCAAGAAAAATCTTAAGATAATAGTCAATAAGAACGAACTGTATTGTTTTCTTTGCTGCGAGGCAAACATCGAAGACATGGTTCTGTGCCAAAAATGTTCAAGATGGGCGCATGAGAGCTGTGCAGGATTTTTGGGGGAGACTTTCAAACGATCCTTTGTGTGTGATTTATGCTTATCTTAATCCTCATTTGTAATGTTTTTCTATTAAAGAGTTTGTATTAAAAAACAAAAAAATTATCTACCTACTCCTCTTCTATTCTGCATCAATTTAAAGATGGTGCATTTTAGGCACCGCGTGATGCGATTTGGGAAACTAGGTTCCTAAATCGCACCAGATACAAGTCTTTCTAAAATGTCTTCAAAAAAATATTTAATACAGTTTTAAAAGTACGACAATTTTATTTTGTATGCCATATAGATAGAGCAATGTGTTAGAACTAGTAACGTTACCAAAAATAATATTGTTTTTTTTAAATGGAGATATTCGAAAAAGTGGTGCGATATCGGCAACCTTACCCTATGTCTCGGGAAAAAAATACATTAGATGTATTATTTTATGATTCTCCAGTATTAATGAAACCTGACTTAATAAGGATATTGATTGAAATGTAAGTAATATTGAGAAAACAACCAATAATAATAAAGAATTTACGTTTTGTCGTAGAATGAGCAATGGTGAACACAAAAATTGAAAATTACTACAAGGCTGTTATTCCCTGACAAAACCCCTCAACTTTTAAATCATGCTTCAGAGTGTCACTTCAACAATTTGAGGTGGTACTTAATCATATAGCAGGAAACCATAGGTTTAGAAAACGGAACCAAGAATATGGGGGACGTAATCAAATTAATCTTGAAAAGGCACTATTAATAACACTGTGGGTCCTGGCTACTCCTGATTCTTATAGATCAGTGGGTGATCGACTGACGACCGCTGATCAATTAAATACACTTATCAACGCTATGCTAGGCATGACATCAGCTCTTCAACAACAGCAAGCATCTCAACAAGAATCACGAAGTTCATAAGGTAATACCACCATCAATATTCTGTCAAATTTCGACACTTTTGACGTAAAAAAGGAAACATTGTAACGAAGCGAATTTTCGCGGGCCGGAAACCGTGCCGCGTACCGCGAGAGCCGGGGGTAAATTCGCGATCTCCGCGCCGCCGCGGCGAAAGGAAGTCTTGCCTGAAGCTTCAGGGTGTCAGGAAGTGCTGTGGCTGTTTTGTGATTAAGAAGAGTTTTTGAGAAGTGTGCAGTTCGCCCCTCCGACCACCGTAAGTACCTTTTTGGGTCGTCTGCGCGTCTTAGTACCGGTTTTCGAATCGCCGCTCCCGAGCGAAAAACCGTGTCACCATCAGAAGTCGAAACCGTCGTGCACGCGTCGTTACCGTCGTGCACGCGTCGTTACCGTCACCGCGCTCCCCTCCCGGGTTGTCGTGCCGTCTTCGCGCGATTTCCAGGTCTCAAAGTCGCCGCCTCCAGAGCCAGGAGGAGCCCGTCCTGAGAGAAGTCGCCGCCCAGGAGGAACGACCGTACCGGACATTCAATTTAATTTTGTTTGTATAACCGTTTTGTAATTATTTAAGTTGTTTAACCCTAAGTTTTATTATTTTAGACCGTGTAGCTGGTGGCAGGGAATAAACCCTATTTATTGTTATAAAATATCCTTGCCGTTTTATTTTGATTCTCGTTTCGCGGGCGCTCACCTGAATTCCGTGTCTCCGGCTTTAGAGCACCCCGGCGCTCCCTCCCACGGAGAGGGAGCTGGCGCCCGAGCGGCCGCCGCTCCTGACCAAAGGCGCCACCCCCGGCGGCGTGAAGGTCGCCGCATAAGCTTGGTCGGCCAGACGTGTTTCTGATATCAACGAAACTAGTTGACCCAAAGCTTGGCACCCAAGTACGCCGCCACCGCACGTTATCCGCGAGATTCCGGACCGTCCCAACCGGAATTTCGTCGGAACATTTAAAAACTATAAAGAAAGACTCGACCTTCATTTTCAAGTCAAAGATGTGAGCACTAACGATAGCTTCTTCTTCAATATATCGGGCCTTCAACGTACGCGCTATTAAAGTTCCTCGCGGCACTGAAAGAAATCAAAACGCTGAAATACGCCGACTTAACCAAACTTCTTGATGACCATTTTTGTCCAAAAAAGAACCCTCTTGTCGAGCAACGCAAGTTTCTGTCCACATATCATCAAGAAAATGAATGCAATGTCGAATATCTTGCTACACTCCGTCAACGTCATAGTAACAATCACAAACATTGGGGTAAAAAACAATCCATTTTAGATCTTATACTGCGAACATTTTGATAATATTAAATAAAATCAAAAGTTGAATTTGCAGTTTTACTAAACGAATTTGTAAACCTATCTAAAGTGAAATTATTATTTATGGCATAATTAGAGAGATTCAGTTTTAGGCCAATGGGACTCCCATCACTTTCCTTCAGTTATTCAATGTTATTGCTTCGCTTCGCCCAATGGTGCATGTTCGGTAGGGATGCGTAAAAAATACCGGTTTTCCACTAAACCGATTTTTTGCTGCGAAAGAACCTACTATAACCGGTTTTTTAAAATTCAGTTATAACCTGATGAACCGGATGCCGTATGTCAGAACCTACTTGTAGGTTTTTTTATTTTTTATAGCAAAATAATGCAGGCAAAAAGCGTACGTGGTACGTTGGTGGTTATTGTACCTACCCAGTGTTGGTAAGCTTGGAAGTTATACGTTTGGGGGGCAAGTAAGATAGCAATAATTAAAAAAACAGAACTAACAACGACCAGTGGTGATTGGCTGATTGGATTGGAAAAAGGGTGCTCGTGACAATTTTCTCGTGCTGTGGACATTATTATCACAGACTAGTGTGGTCTGTGATTATTATTTTCCCGCGCGTTGCAACGCTTTTGTACTTCCTAACCTAATTCCAAGTGCGTACATGGATAGTAGTCTGATTAATAAAAGTAAGAGAATAAGAGAAAGTCTACAAACAATCAAAAGTATTCATTTTCCAGCAAATCAAAAATATTCCTGTAAACTAGTGTTTGCATTATAGGACGACATGCCAAAACATAGAAAAAGCCAAGTATGGGAGTTTTTCACCCGATGTAATAATCAAAACTGTAAGTGTAATTTATGCGGAAGAATTTACAAAACTGGTGGTGGGACCACAAACCTAAATAATCACCTTATTCGAAAACACCCAAAAGTCAATGCTATTAATTTCAAAAAACATGTCGCAGATGAAGCCAGAGTGAACAAGAAACCAAGGATCGACTTTGATTTGACAAACTCAACGCCTTCAACGTCTCATAGCAATGCAGAAGGAGGAGATGCAGCGAAGGAGATTGAAAATGAAGCCCTAGACTCTCAGCATGAGGTGAAGAATTAATTCTTAGATTTCATCATATGGGAAAATTTCTATAGTTATTTGAATATATTTTCTATCATAGGACAGTGATGACAGTTTTGAAGAGAATTTAATAGAAGTTCATAGTATCGGGAGTGCCAGTACCATTACTGCAAGCAGTACAAGCAACATAAACTATAATGGTAGTAACAGCTCGCATCTCTCTCAACCTAGTATTCACCAGATTTTTAATGCACAAAGATGTTATGAATGTAAATATCATACCTTCATAAAAAAATTAATCCTATGCATGGAAATTGTGAAGCTCTATTTGATATACACTTAATGTTTCAGCTGGAGGGTCAAAAGAAGCAATGTTAACCCAAGCTTTAATCTTCATGATATGCAAAGACAATTATCCATTGCAATGTACTGAAAAAGAAGGTCTCAAAAGGCTTTTAAAAGTAGCAGTGCCGTTATATCATGTTCCAAGTAGGAGTACAGTAAGTCCATTGGCTCTAACAATTTAAATCGGCAAAAATCTATTATTTTTAGATTACAAAATATGTTGAACAGAAGTACAACAGCCTGCAAATATTTGTTAGCAAAAAATTGCAACAAGCTCACCATCTTGCCTTAACAACAGACATTGCAACAGTGATCAATGCGACAAGAAGTTTTATAGTTTTAACTGCCCATTTTATCAGTAAGATGAATTATTTTGTTTCTTTTTTCATTTAAAGATTTTAATTGATAGATGAAGAAAATAATGAAATGGTTACTATTGCACTTGGTGTGAGTAATCTGACACAGCACCATACAGCAGACAATATAAGCAATGATTTGCACACTATGTTGAATAACTGGAAAATTTTAAAAGAAAACATTGTTTCAATTACGACTGATAACGGTGCAAATATTGTTGCTGCTGTAAAGAAAATTATGTCACAGACTTCTAATCATTTCCATGTCAGTTGTTTTGCGCACAATATAAACTTAGTGATAACAAAGGCATTAGGAAGTTGTCCAGATGTTGTCACCATAATTGAAAAAGTAAAGACAATTGTTGCTTATTTTAAGCACAGTAATGTTGCACAAGATCAGTTAAGATATGAACAGAAAAATGAAGGAAAAAAGGATGGAACATATCTGTATTTAATACAAGAGGTTCCCACTAGATGGAACTCCACGTTTTATTGCTTACAAAGGTTTAAATACCTATCGGGTCATGTTGGTAAAATTTTACTGTCGTCTGAACACCAAAAAGCTCCACCAATGTTGACTGCTAATGAGCTGGCAATTATTGATGAGTGTTTGAAGTTACTTGGGCCATTTGAGGATGCAACTAAAAATATATCAGGCGAAAAATATGTCTCAGGAAGCTTGGTGATACCCATGACCAACTGTATTAAAACCTCCTTACATAGAATCAACGTCAGTAATCCCTTTGCTAAAAACTTAAAAAAAGAACTTGAGGCACAAATAGAAAAAAAACTTGATCCTTTAGAAACAAATATTCTTTTGTCAATAGCCACAATTGTAGATCCCAGATTTAAGCGTCTTCATTTTTCATCAGCAAGAAATGTTGCCAATGCCATTACAATAATAAAAAACGAAGTTAAAAAAGAACATCAGAATCAAGGATCGCTCACTCCACCAGTACATCCAAATATTATAGATGATGTAGATGGATGCATTTGGAATATCCATGATGAGATAGCCTCAAGGCACTTACCTGATTCAGATGGTTGTGATGGATTACCCGCAGAGTTAAAATTATATTTGAATCAACCGATTCAACCAAGAACTCGACATCCAATACAGTATTGGAAAGAAAATAAGAATGCATTTCCAGGAACGTACAAAGTTGCCATGAAATACCTCACTGTCTTGGGAGCTTCAGTTCCAGCAGAACGCCTGGTATCTACACTTAATAATGTTTGTTCTGATAAAAGAAGTCGTTTGACACCACAGCACATCAATGAGTTAGTATTTCTTAATTCTTTGGATAGTATTTACTGGAACATCTAATTTGGAATTCATTTTTGGTTTATATAATCCAGACTAATGTTTTTTTGTTAAACATGAAATACATTTTTGAGTTGCAACGATTTATATATCAATATTATTACCTATTCACCTTTTTTTTACTTTCACATTGAATTGGGAACAATCGGTTAACCTGCAAACCGGTTATTGCAGGTTCGGTTAAACTGTTGGCAATTAACCTGTTCAAAAATAAATCGGTTAACTGAAAACCGGTTTATTTTGTAGAACCGAACATCCCTAATGTTCGGTTGCGCGACACTGAACTAGCAATGATAATGAGGAGTGGGAGAAATAATCGAGCCCTTCAATTATTTTTGCCCGGCTCTAGTCATACTACTCTATTTACATTGTAGGAAGCGGAAAAAATTAAATTAATTTACATTAAGTTTATAATAACAAATCTTAGGCAACACCAGCTGACGAAATTGAAAGCCAATTTAAAGAAGAGGAAGTAGCTTCATATGCGTCTGCAATCTTAGCTCAACCCTTAGACGATAAAAAACATGTTTTTGTTTATCAATTTTTACAACAATAACAAGTTTAATTTTTAAGACGTTTGCAAAAAATGGAAAAAGATAATATCTATGGGCAAAGAACATGGAATCGAAATATAGTGAACCAAGAGCTATAAGGTTATATGGCCATCATAAAAGTAGTTGACCGCAAATAAATACCCCCTTTGTGTGGTTCGCACTAAGCTTACCGGTTGGCAATAAATCATCTTCTAAACATTTCTTGCTCATATTTAACAGGGCCGGCTTTCAAAGCCAGTGGTTATTTCGGAACCCTCAGCGGCTGCAGGTAGTAAAGAAATAGTGGAGTGGTGGATTTTCATATTTAGTGAAAGCCGCCCCTGAACGAAACCACAAGAGCCGGTCGAGCTGCAGTGGACACGTTATTTACGACCCTAAAACCTTTTCTATTGTAAACAACTTAACTTCGACACAATGGGATGATTTTATGATGGCCATATAACCTTATAACTCTTGGTTCACTATACTTGGATTTTCGTCTGATGGCGACCCCCCATCTCTTGAATGCAATGAGATGTCTTGCTCCTTTACCTGCTCATATTGACAATACTTGGAATTGGTTTAATATAGATATAACCAATAGTTTCTGCTGCACTCACGATACTGTGCATATAGGCACCAAACTAAAAACACGACTCCTGAATCGGCAATTATTGTGCTTCAAGAGAACATTTAAAGTATTTAATTGAAAATGTCAACAAAGAAGACATTTTTTATGTAATAATGATATAAACTGCGAAGATTAAATGAATTTCGAAAGCGTTTTGAACATATCGTTCAAGTAAAGTACTTAAATGCTTACCCGACAGCAAAGCTACAAATATATTTTTGATGATCATTCAAAACATTTTAAGTACATTTTTATGTAAAGACATTACAATTAGTGAACGAAATTATTTAATATGGAGTGTCTTCTTTTTTCGGATTTGGCGACACTGGATCATAAATCACCCACGTTATACTTAGTCTAAGTAAAAATTTGATTACGTTGAATAGTTACTTATGCGTAGACGATTTAATATTGGTAAGTAAAAAATACAAGTTTGTTAATATTTTACACACTAAATGCATGTATTATTTTTGAAGGTGCATCTAAGAGCCAAATTTCTGAAGTATATGTGAACACTTTTAAATCATCTAAAAAAAAAAAAATAACAGAACACAGTCTATGTGTGGAAAGAACTGATAAGAATAAAGAAACACATATAACAAAGTGGACAACTTTATGCTGGTTGCAGAATAAAAGCAAAGAAAAAGTCAGAACAGACCGAAGAAGAAGGTTTTATGGAACATCAAAAAAAATTCTGCTGCAAAGAACACCAAAAAATCAAATAAACGTATAATACATGATACAGATAGTAATCGTGACTAGTAATTAAATAAATATATCTGTCTTAGGATAAGCAACTGTTTTTTTGTCGTACTAATAATTTTTGAGGACAACATATAAAGAATTGCCTTCGAAAATGCATTCCGCCATTTTATGAAATACAGGTAAAAAAATATTTTTTGTATCCTTAATGGAAAACAGCCATTTGATTAGGTAGAATTCACAAGGTTAATGTTCTATTTTAAATACTCATTAGCAACACTTTATTCGTTAGCAACACAACCACACACAACATTTATCGTCATGCGTTGCTAAGGTTGATTTTTCATAAACAACTATGTTGCTATGCTTGAATCCTGTCATTTTTTTTGTATGTACATCATCAACTAATTTTTTTTTGCAGTAACCCCGAAGTTAATCAATGATATTGATATTGCAGTAAACCAGGAGTATAATAGATTAGAACCTCCCGATCTGAAACTCCCGGAACCTCCCGATCTGAAACTCCACGGTCTTCACGGAATTCTAAAAGAAGCCGTACCCTAGTCGACTCAGACGTAAACTCATCGGTGGACAATGTTATTATCAACGTTGGAGCCTATTCTGCAAAGAAAAGTGCCGATGAATCGGACTCGGCTTTTTACAATTACCTTGCTACCGAATTAAAAGAAATGTCAAGGGGAAGGAAGAATCAACTAAGGAAAATGATTGTTAATTTTGTAGCAAATAACGATGAGGACTGTTAACTGTATTACCAATAACGACGACTGATTTTTTGTAATACGAGTATGTTTATTAAAAAAATAAAGTACATTTGGTTATAGACTGTGTATGTTTCTTTATAATTTAGCTACTGTATTTAAATAATCGGCTAATTTACCCCACTATGCTTTGAATTGAGAGGACGCTGTCTAATTGACTACAACGGCTGTGAAAGTTCAAGTCTCCAAAGTCCATTTTCTTCATCATTAACATCAATAAATCCTGGAGGACAATAGGATAAACATGATGTGCAAAGAAAGTTATGCAAGCAGACAACAAGTCCGGCCCAGAATGAAAAGTCATTTTTTTGTTGAGGAGGAAACCGATACCTATTTGTCAGACACAATTAATCATGAGTAATGTGAAAAAGATATATAGTCTCTCCTAAAAAAAATGCATTTCACAAAAAAACTATTTTACAAAAAATTAGCAAAATCGAACTAACAATTATATAATCTAATATATTAAAGCTTTTTTAACAAACTACTCTCTGCCGCAAGACTGTTAATGACTTCTTCTTTATCAACTGCATTTAAAATGGATTTTTCCACATTCATGATGACGAAAGATTCCAGTCGGTCATCTGTTAATGTATTTTTGATATATTTCAGAACCGAGAACGACCCCTCACACTCCACTTGAGTTATTGGAAGTGTTAGGAGATACTGATACGCTGTAGCAAGTGCACAATATGCTCCCTGGAACATGTTATATTTCAAAATAACAGTATAGCAGCATATTACACAGTTTTTGCAACTCTTGCAAATATTTTTTTTCAATTTAACATCCGTAATTTCGGAAGAATTAGGTAAATTTACAGTATCGATACCATCTAGATCGTAATTTGTGTTGTACGTATCCTCCAAAGTTAATTTTAGTTTCTCCCAATTTGAGGCAAAACTTAAAAGCTCCTCTTTTAACTGGGAAGAAGTTGCAGACGAATTATATTTTATTATTTTCGCGGACAAGTACTTCATGCAGTTGTCTGGCAAACTTTTTTTGTTACAAATTTCTTCAAAATTATTGGGATCGAATATTGCCATATCTCTACAATTATCCATATTTTTTAAAAATCGATTATTCATGGCTTCAACCGCAATGTCCATCAACACGCTAAAAGTAGATATCTTAAATCTTTCTTCTGGAGATTGTGGCTACTCATCAATTGATTTTTCTTCATAATTTTTTTTTACATATCTTCGACGTACGTTAGTGAAATGTTCCTGTATATCTGCATCTATGTCTTTTGACTCTAACTCTAATTTAGCCAAACGTAAAAATGTGTTTGTATCCTCCTGGAAAGAGATAAAATCTCTCTGTATAGACCTCAGTTGTTCGATAGTCGTCTCTAACATGTGGTTACATTTAAGAAGATCGAATCCTCTAGTTTGCAGATATCTTGACAGAGGACCCGTTATACTAAAAATCTTTAAAAATATTTGCGCAGAGATTATATTTTCGTATTTCAATAAGTTATCCTTATGATTTTTGGCTGGAATCCTGGCGTCAGGATTAATTTTAGCATTATTTTCAATTTTTTCCAAAGTATCACTAACAAGTACTCATTTTCATTACTCATTTCAGAATTTGTAGCAAACATTTTGTGGGTAATGCAAAATCCAATCATCCTGGCAGCCCTTCATATGTGCCTACAATATTTCCAGAGGTACATACATTTTCTTATAAGTGTCACAATTTAAATAAAATACGTTTGCAGTGCTACAAAAAACAATGTGTAAGAATTGAAAAAAGTAGCTCTAGATTTTCTAGGCACATCCGTAGACAAGTAAAGGCTTCTACCAGAGCCCTGCCTACATATTTTTTCGCCAGAGGCAGATGGCCAAATCCGCGCCCCCCATGTTAGTGATAGGATATTTACCTACTTACCTATACGTTACAATTGATATGTGCTCTGACTTTCTAAAAGGAAACCAGAATTGTAATTGAAAAATGTGGATTAATATGAAAAATTAAATGGGTATTCATTTTAAATTATCAAAATGACACAAAATGAAAAGTTAAAAAAACATATAATATAACTCATAATAGCAAATTACATAGAAAAATGTGTATTTTTAAGTAGCGCGTGTACTTCAAAATGCATACTATACGCATATTTATCTGTCCTAATCTGATCTAATACTACCAAACGAGCCGAGTGAAACTCGGTCAACCAGATATCTTATACTATTAAACGAGCAAAATTTGTATATATATATTTATATATCTATATATATAATGGGTTTCTCGAAAACGGCTCTAACGATTTCGATGAAATTTACAGGTTGGGGGTTTTTTGGGTCAAGAAATCGATTCATCATAGTTTTAACTTCTGAAAATTACAGCTTCATACATTTTCAGCAATTTTCAGGCAGTGAATTATATTTGTTGCTCGGCAATATCAGATGACACTACACGAACACGAAATTGTTTTAGAGAAGTTTGGGTGACAGTACGTTTGACGTACCTTTTTATCTTCAACTGTACGTACCAAAACATACTCCACTGTATATAGGACGTTAAAATTCACCTTCTGAAGTGAGAAAATTTACGGAAAACTAAACAGCGGATAAACGGCGCACGAAAGTGCGTTGAAATGAGGTTATTTTGTCAAGCATTAATTTCGGAGGCTTCCACGGTCGGAGTCCATATATATGATCGTTTTCCGGGTTGGGACCGTGTTATTTGAGTTTTTGGGTTCAAGGTTTCGCACACTTTCGTAAATGGATTCTTCATGAGCAGAGTTGAGAAATAAGGAATAACGCAAAAGAGCACGGTAACTCAGTATGTTAACCATACCAGAGGGAAACTCTTCTGGCAGTAAGAATCAGTAAGAATGTGGTGAAGAAAAAAGAGAACGACACACAAAGTAATAAATGACATTGTAATAAATATCAAACAATAATTCCAGTTTTCTATTCTTAAATCTCTACATGCCACTCAACAGTGTTTAAAACAAAGACTGCTTACGGAATTTCCTTTTTAATGTGTATTTTTAATTAGTGCGGGTACTTCAAAACGCATACTATAGGTACACCTATTTATCTGTCCTAATCTGATCAATACTACCAAACGAGCCGAGTGAAGCTCGGTCAACCAGATATTGAAAAATTAAATGGGTATTCATTTTAAGTTGTCAAAATGACACAAAATGAAAAGTTAAAAAAACATATAATATAACTCATAATAGCAAATTACATAGAAAAATTTGTAAATAATTCTTAATAATATTTAACAAAAAATACTCCCCTATATTACTTTTAAAAATTTTACAGTTTAATTTTCCTTGCTTTTAATAAAGCAAAATCATCAATGATTTTTTCAAAATCTATTTGATTGCATAGCTCTTGTTCAATGGAAAGAATAGCCATATTCGACAATTTTTCCTGACCGAGAGAAGATCTTAAATAATTTTTAATTATCTTAAAAGCTTCTTTCTTCAGAAGCTACAGTAACTGGTAAAGTTAAAAATATTCTTAACGCGATTTCCAAATTTGGATACGATTGAACTAAACCGTAGTCGTGAATTATTTTCAAAAGATCGAAAAGTGTAGCTGCTCTAATATCTGGAATTATGGCAATTGCTTGGTTCTTAAAACTAAATATTTCTGATGACATTTCTACACCATTTATATCATTAGGATATTTCAGAGCTAAGTTGTAAGCTGCTTTTCTTAAATCTTCTATATCTAATGATATTAATTTTTCGCCAGTAAGAAACTGAAAATCTGAAGATGTTTCATTCAGTTTTTCATACCTCCATTTAAGTTGTGAAATCAGAACGTCCAGTACCTCTTTCATTTCCACTGTATACAAATATTTTTCTGAAGAATTATTAATGTTTTCGTCAACTGATTCTTGATTATCTAATTTCTTCACTTTTCTTTTTCGTTTCTCCTCAAATTCTGTTGAAATATTCATATCTACAGCTAAATTTTTACATTCATCAAAAATAGTTTCAAAAATATTATTCCTCATCTGTTGTAAAGTCAAAGATAAGCCTTCGATGAGGCAAGCAGCCTTATGTATGTTCATTGTTTTCGATTGCAAAGATTTATTTACTTTTTCTGTTTCTTGTAGAATCAAATTCCATGCAGATAACATACATAAAAATTTAAAATTAATTTGTTTTAGTAGACTGCTAGTTTCGGCAGATTGCAACGATTTTTCATTTGAAGCCATTTTTTTAGCACATCGTACGCTTCTGTTATTTGTTGGAATAATGCTTTGACTGCATTTGCTCTTGAGCTCCACCGTGTGTCTGTATGGCCTTTTAACGTTGTGTTTAAAACACTCATAAGTGCATCCCATCTACTTGTGGAATTTACAAAAAACGTGTAGATCCTTTGTATGATTCCAAAAAAAGGTCATCATGCCTGAATTTGTAGAAGCGGCATTTTTACATACTAAATTAAGATTGTGAATGGCGCAAGGAATGTATTTGGCGTGATTATTTCTTTGAAATATGATGGCTTGTACACCCTTATACACTCCTGCCATGTTCGCCCCATTGTCATATTCTTGACCTCGGCGAGTCCGCTGCCAGTTTTTTCTTTTGTTTCTATAAAATCTATAAAACTCTCTTCAATAATTATGGAATATTCTGTAACACGTATGTATCTAATAATTTGACACATTTGTTCCCTATGGGACACATCAGGAGTACAATCAAAAAGTAAAGAAAAATATTTCGCTTTTTTAATTCTCGAGAGAATTTTACGTCGAACATGGTTTCCCAAAAGAAAAACAAATTCGTCCTGTATCTTATTAGATAAGTAGGAAACGGATCCTTTTTTATGTTTAACTATATGATCTGCAATATTAGTGTTGTAATGACTTATTAATTCAATCAGATTTAAAAAAATTCCTGAATTCGAATTCCCGATTTTTTCATGCGTACCTCTAAGAGGTAAATTATTTTTTGCACAAAATAAAATCACGTCCAATATGACACGTAAAATGTTTAGCCACTTTTCCTTTTCAGTTTGTATTGACTTTTGTAATGAATCGTCAATAAAACCACCACTTCTGATTTTTTTTCTCGAAGCATTTCCACTGAACATAAGCATCGCGATGAAACATAGAATTTTCGTGATCAGAAATTCGGTTTAAGTTTTTCCAGTCTTTATAACCCTTTTTCGCATTGGTAATCATGGATTCTGTTCGAATTTTAGTGAAAAGTATGCACGGAAAACAAAACAATGACAAAGATATTTTTGAGTAAATAAGCCAGTTGCGATGAATCACTTTCCCATTAGCACATTTCTTAGAAAACCATTCTTTGCCAAATTTTCTTCCGTCCTGTGAAGTAGATTCTCTGAAATCAGCGTCTAATCCTTGCTTCGGCCCATGTTCTATTAATAAAAATTTTATTTTATCCGAAATTGGTGGCCATGATGGAGGATCGTTGAAATTAATTGAATTAGTGGACGTCTCTCTTTCTTCTTCGCTTTCAAAAATTTTGGGAGCATGTTTTTCTTCATTTAACACATGCGTAGTCTTTTCCGATAAAACTTTAACAATAACATTTTCTCCTGTATTTTCTGCTAGATCTTTCCTGGGCGCTACAGATGTTAAATCTCTTGAAGTACTACCTCTTCCCAACCAATCTTGTAACTGTAATGCACAATTTTGTTGAATCTCGTTCTTCAATTTTCTTTTCTTTTTGTATTCTGCACCACTGGGGTTTTTTGAAGCCATCTGTGAAAATTTATTCCCACATGATTAGGCTTTGCTCGTCATAAAATGTATAAATGTTGAAAAAGAATTATTTAAAAAATATTATTTAAATGCGAGGAACAATTTGTTTTTTTTAATAAGCTAAAAATGTTGCTAAGAATGGATAAAAAAAATTACTTTTAATTTATGTTGAAATTTTCATTTTCAGTAAGTAATATTGTGCCGACTATCATGTAAAATGAGAGTTCGAAAAATATTCAGTACTTACCAGATGCTTATTTATATATTTATGTAAGTAACTTAGAAATTTAAACAAAACTAATACTTTGCTCGTATTTTACACACGAAATGTACTTTTGTAGTTTCTGTTTGGCTGACAATTTTCGTTAACACACTGTAACAACTACCTCAACTCTAGTGCATAAATTCACTCTCAAGCTTTTTCACTGAACATCTGCATTCTTTTAGGGACCAATCAGCAAATATGCATCCACTTGTAACAAAATTCCCAGATGCAACCTATTATTGCATTTCCGGTGTCCAGTCTATTTCTTTGTTACGCACCCCATTGTCTTGCCGCTGTCACATAAAACACCCAACCCAGATCCGAGGAGACGTACATGTACATGTGGTGGAGTTTTTATTTTACAGTTTTGACAATTTGGCGCCCCTCTAATTTGTTCACCTGAGGCGAGTGCCTCTCTCGCCTCACCCTCGTCCTGGCCCTGCTAGGGAACGTACTTTCGGTCACGTGGATGGGTAGGTATGGTCGGTTGGCTATGTATCTCTGGTTGTAATACGTTGTCTGTTGATTAAATGGAGCTCGTACTCCGCGGTTTGTCGGCTGGTAATTATTCTGTTGGTAATTGTTGCGTGGTCTAAAGAAATTATTTGATGGTTGATCACTGTCATCATTCAAATAATAGGGATCAATTCTGCATTGTCTGGCATAATGTCCAGTTCGCTTGCATTTATAGCAAACAGGTTCATTAGTGACATTGAAATTCCTTGTGTTGTATTGTTGGTTGAATCTTGGTTTGCTCTGTGGGTTTCCGAAGAACTGGGAATCCTGATGTCTCGCGAAGTTGTTGTTACATGGGTATTGTTTTTGTTGCGAATTATAGCGGACATTACTTTCGTTTCGCAATGCTTGCTTCATTGTTGAATTGTTATTAGAGTTCTTTGGTCTAGTGTCTGTGAAATTTTCCGCTCTTCTTGATGCCTTATCTTTCTTACAGGCGGGATTTCCTTCGTCTTCCTCGTCAGATGCATTATCTTCAATTTCGACCACTCGTTGAAAGACTTTTCGGGTCACATGTCTTTCAACTTGTTCCTCCTTAAGTGCTAAAGTCACAGCTTCATCGAAGGATGCCGTATCTGCCGACATGACTCTTTGTCTTACAGGGTCGTTTAATCCCTCCATAAAGTGCTGCAAGCATTCTTCGCGGATGGTTTCTTTCTTGATACGGTCTCTGTCGGGGTCACCGCTTGGTTTTACGCGAGCAAGAGCGAGCATTTGTAGTCGTTCTCCGTATTCTTTTACACCTTCGCCGGCTCTTTGCTTGCATTTCCTGAATTGATGTAATGCTTCGACAGGTAGTAGAGGAGTTTCATAGCGTTTGATTAAAGCCTCACAGAAGTCCTTCCATTTCGTGGTGGCTCGTAAATCGTCATTATGTTCAAGAAATTTTCACGCATTGCCCTTTAATTTGATTTTTGCCACTTGAATTGTGTATTTGTCCGTCCAGTTGCCAATTGATTTGACATCCGTGATATAACTGATGAATGTGCGCACTGATTCTTCTCCCGTGAAGTCGGGGATCATATCCGCGGTTAATTGCAAGGGAACCGTCATAATTGTTGATTCGGGTGTTGAGGAGGTTGGGGTTTTTACTCTCTTAGTTCGAGTTCTCCTTGTTCGCCCTATTTTTTAATAGTACTCACCACGGTGAGCTCTTTTTGTTGTTCTTTTATTTTCCGCCAGAGACACCTATAAGGGAAACCTGTTGTACTCGTTGATTCCCTTATGGCAAGTAGTTTACTAATAATTAGTCTAATTATCATTAATCGTGTGGGTTAGTTATTAATTTTATTGGTGATTATTCACGGTCTTTGCGGCTTCTTTTCCGGCGTACTGGTGGTTAATTTATAATGGTACTTAACAAATTAGTTAGTGGCCATTAAACGACGCGTGTTATCACTTATGGTTATTTTCTTACTCGACTACGGCTGTTCATAATTAAATTTGGACGTGTCATCAGTTTAATGGGATCTCTTTTGTCTGGTACTTACTAAACTCATAATATCTATATTCTAATAAGTAAACAAACTGCTAGAATTTGCTACTTTATTAAACTAACTATTCTGCTGGGAATTTTCACATAATTATGATAACGCTTCCTTTTAGGAACTGTAAAGTATCGTCTGATTTGTGTATTACTTGACGAGATTTTTGATAATTAAAAATTATTGAATCTTAGCAATCTTACTTTCTTAATTCTGATGATTTGTTAAACTACTAAAACGGGAACTGATGTGAGTTATTTCTTCGAGCCATACTAATTGTTTGTTGTGTGTGCTTTGTTTGGGTATCTAAACAGATGCTTGGTGCGGTAAAGCCCGTCTTTTGGATGGTGTTGAGAGCCAGTACTGGGGGTACGTGTTTTGATTCTCCCCACCCTCAATGGGAAGTCTGGCCACCACCCGCTTAAACGAGGATTCTACCTGTAGCTTTCGGGAAATAAACATCTCTAATCTGTAACGACAGTCCGCTGGTTCTTTTATCAGTCATCCTACCTATTTCAACGTATCATTCAAATATCAATTCACCGGACGCGTTCGAAATCCGTATCATTCCTTTTATTAAATACAAGAAAACATATATCGTCAAACGAGTTCGAAATAGATGGGTTATTTTTTAAATTTCTTTTTGACTACCTTCGGGCTTTATCTATGTTACTGGGGCGAATGGGGTTGTGACCTGATTACCAAGTGTAGGTGGGGCAAGTGTGTTAGTTTTTAAGTGGTAATTTTCGTGAATTTTTATTCATTCAGTGTTTGTGTTCTGAAGGAGTGACTAATGGGTAACTACTGATTTAATTTTTTAATTTTATTTAATTGCGTTTATTCATGAATAAATGTTTTGTGTTTTTATAAATGGTTTAGTTTATCTTATAATTATTATTATTATTGTTTTTTTTTTTGTGTTGTAGCTTCTAATTCGTCTGACCACGGTTGGCCAGCTTGTTATGCCGACGAAGTCCGGCGTGCGGCTCTTCGTGCTCAAGGTTGGTAAAATTTTATTTAGTCATTACGGCATTTTTACGATTTTTATTTATTTGTATTATTATTAACGTTAAGATTATTGTTTTAAGGCTTCAATGACCTTGAAATTGATTATTTCTTTGAATCCTCCTCCGAGTAAGATGGGGAACTGCAAGGTACCTTCACACCCGAACACATTCAAGAATTGTTTCGGGAGGCCCGACGTCTCCACCTTCAGCGCCTGGCTGAGGCCAAAGATAGGGCTGCCAAACGGCCGGCACCTACTCGTAAGTATTTCATTTATTTATTTTTTCGTTTTTGTTTTTTTTTTATTGTTTATTAAATCAATGTCGATAAAAGAAAAGTAATCTACTTATTTATTTTATTTTCAGAATCTGCTCAAGAGGCCCACGGGGGAAAGAAACAAAAAAAATGAATCTCCTGTTTATATTATATAAATATTTTTGTTGTAAGTCTTTTATCATTCCAATCAAAATGTAAACTCTTTTTTTTTTTTGACTACCCGATTTTATTTACGTGCCCAAGAAGAGGGGTTTTTATGTTGGGTTTAAAAAAAAAAGTCAGCCATGAAATTTTTTCTTCACGTTTGATAAACTGATTCTTTAACAAAATGGTTTGTAAAACGTGAGACTGACTTGACACTTTATTGTTATTCAGAAATCATATTATCATTGCAACATTTCTGACTTCTGTCAAAAATTTAAAATGCCGAATTTTTTTTTTATAATATGTAATTCTACACGCAGGAAATCAATTTGGGCTTTTAGATGGTGTTTTAAAAGTTTCAATTTTTCGAATTTTTAACTATTAGCTTTTTCACTTTTTTGTTGTTTCGGTTTCTCAATCTTATTCTGTCTTCTCGTTCTTAGATTTTTCGATTTTTCAATTTTTCGGAATTAATTTTTCAATTCTTCGATGTTTCGATTTTTCACTTTTTCGGTTTGTCTTTTTTTATGTTCAAATTTTTCAATTTTAAATTCTCCCATCTTTCGACTTCTCGTTCTTCTGATGTTTCGATTTCACGATTTTTCAATTTTTCGACTTCGATTTCTCGATTTCTCAGTTTTTGGATAATTTATCTTTTCGTTTTTTCGATTTTCCAATTTTTCAATTTTTGGCGTTTCTAACTTTTTGGTTTTTTCGATTCCTCAATTTCTTGATTAATCGATTTTTTAATTTTTCGACCATTCGATTTTTCGTCTTTCCGATTTTTCGATTTCTCAATTTGCGATTTCTCAAATTTTCAATGTTTAAGTTTTGGGAGTTTCCAATATGTATGTCGATTTTTAAATATTTAGATTTTTCTATTTTCTATTTTTTTTTAATTTTTACTTATGCGATTTTTTAAATCTTACATTTTCGATTTTTCAGTTTTTTGATTTTTCGATTTGTTGATGTTTTGATTGCTCGATTTTTAAATTTTCAATTTTTCGAATTTTTCAATTTTAGATTTATCACTTTTTTGCTGTTTCGATTTCTCAGTCTTTCGATTTTTTGTCTTCTCGTTCTTAGATTTTTCGATTTTTCAATTTTTCGGAATTAATTTTTCAGTTCTTCGATGTTTCGATTTTTCACTTTTTCGGTTTGTCTTTTTTTTATGTTCAAATTTTTCAATTTTGAATTCTCCCTCCCATCTTTCGACTTCTCGACTTCTCGTTCTTCTGATGTTTCGATTTCACGATTTTTCAATTTTTCGACTTCGATTTCTCGATTTCTTAGTTTTTAGATAATTCATCTTTTCGATTTTTCGATTTTCCAATTTTTCAACGTTTCAGTTTTGGGATTTGTGTTTAAATTTTTCGATTTTCTAATTTTTCAATGTTTGGCGTTTCTAATTTTTTGGATTTTTCGATTTCTCAATTTCTCCATTAATAGATTTTTTAATTTTTCGACTTTTCGATTTTTCGTCTTTCCGATTTTTCGATTTCTCAATTTGCGATTTCTCAAATTTTCAATGTTTAAGTTTTGGGAGTTTTCAATATGTATTTCGATTTTTAAATATTTAGATTTTTCTATTTTCTATTTTTTTATTTTTTACTTATGCGATTTTTTAAATCTTTCATTTTCGATTTTTCAGTTTTTTGATTTTTCGATTTGTTGATGTTTTGATTGCTCGATTTTTTAAATCTTCAATTTTTCGAATTTTTAAATATTAGCTTTTTCACTTTTTTGTTGTTTCGGTTTCTCAATCTTTCGATTTTTTGTCTTCTCGTTCTTAGATTTTTCGATTTTTCAATTTTTCGGAATTAATTTTTCAGTTCTTCGATGTTTCGATTTTTCACTTTTTCGGTTTGTCTTTTTTGTATGTTCAAATTTTTCAATTTTGAATTCTGCCATCTTTAGACTTCTCGACTTCTCGTTCTTCTGATGTTTCGATTTCACGATTTTTCAATTTTTCGACTTCGATTTCTCGATTTGTCAGTTTTTAGATAATTCATCTTTTCGATTTTTCGATTTTCCAATTCTTTCAGGAAATAAACATCTCTAATCTGTAACGACAGTCCGCTGGTTC